GGTCACGTGACGAGGGGCGGGGCCTCAGGCCACGCCCCCAACTCGGCCAAACAAATGTTGGGATTTTTGGGGTGAATTTGGGGCATTTTGGGGTGAATTTTGGGGGTGAATTTTGGGTTATTTTTGGGGTGAATTTTGGGTTATTTTTGGGGTGAATTTTGGGTTATTTTTGGGGTACTTTTTGGGATTTTTGGGGGTGAACGTTGGGATTTTCGGGGTGAATTTTGGGTTATTTTGGGGGTATTTTTTTGGGGATTTTTGGGGTATTTTTTTGGGATTTTGGGGTGAATGGGGGCCGTTCCTGGGCCGCTATTTTGGGTTATTTTTGGGGTGAATTTGGGTTATTTTTGGGGTATTTTTTTGGATTTTTGGGGTATTTTTTTGGGATTTTGGGGTGAATGGGGGCCGTTCCTGGGCCGCTATTTTGGGTTATTTTTGGGGTATTTTTTGGGATTTTTGGGGTATTTTTTTGGGATTTTCGGGGTGAGTGGGGGCCGTTCCGGGGCTGCTATTTTGGGTTATTTTTGGGGTGAATTTGGGTTATTTTTGGGGTATTTTTTGGGATTTTGGGGTATTTTTTTGGGTTAATTTGAGGGTGAATTGGGGCTGTTCCGGGGCCGCTATTTGGGTTATTTTTGGGGTGAATTTGGGTTATTTTTGGGGTATTTTTTGGGATTTTTGGGGTATTTTTTTTGGATTTTAGGGTTCATTGGGGCCGTTCCGGGGCCGCTATTTTGGGTTATTTTTGGGGTGAATTTGGGTTATTTTTGGGGTATTTTTTGGGATTTTTGGGGTATTTTTTTGGGGTTTTCGGGGTGAATGGGGGTCATTCCGGGGCCGCTATTTTGGGTTATTTTTGGGGTGAATTTGGGTTATTTTTGGGGTATTTTTTGGGATTTTTGGGGTATTTTTTTGGGATTTTCGGGGTGAGTGGGGGCCGTTCCAGGGCCGCTATTTTGGGTTATTTTTGAGGTGAATTTGGGTTATTTTTGGGGTATGTTTTTGGGATTTTCGGGGTGAATGGGGGTCGTTCCGGGTCTGCTATTTTGGGTTATTTTTGGGTAATTTTTTGGGATTTGGGGGTGAATCGAGGCCGCTCCAGGGCCGCTATTTTGGGTTATTTTTGGGGTGAATTTGGGTTATTTTTGGGGTATTTTTTTTGGGATTTGGGGGTGAATTGGGGCTGTTCCAGGGCCGCTATTTCAGGTTATTTTTGGGGTGAATTTGGGTTATTTTTGGGGTATTTTTTGGGATTTTTGGGGTATTTTTATGGGATTTTCGGGGTGAATGGGGGCTGTTCCGGGGCCGCTATTTTGGGGAGGGGTCTCGGCCCGCAGGAGGACGAGGGGGGTCCCGCGGCGGCCCCGGGGGGGTCCCCGGCGGCGGCGCTGACCCCGGCGCTGGCGCTGAGCGTGGCGGCCGCGGCGCTCGGCTCGCTCGCCTTCGGCTTCAACATCGGCGTCATCAACGCGCCCC